GGGAGGTGGAGGCCGAAATACCACACCAGCTTTCTTGGGCTGTAACTGGAAAGGATAGAGTGGTCAGAAAATCACATTTCCAGGAGGAACACCCTTCCTGGAAAGCACAAGGCAGTCATTTGCTTAAAAAGAATTTCGGAGAGCTGTTCCCATGCAGTTCACCAAGGCAGAGAGTGGAAAGAGAGTAACCAGCCTAAACACCCGAGGGTGGGTCCAGACTAGCAGCACTGGTTGCAAAGGAGACGGAGCCAAAGCTGAAGGGCTGACGGAACTGCCCTAGAGGGATCGGGCGGAGAAACGAGCCAAAGCATCTTCCAGAAAGTCGGAGGGGGTTATCCTCCTGCGAGGGAGCGGCTCTGAGCACAAGGAAAGGGTTTCACTCGGTGCTCCGTTGCAGTGTGCATCTCTACCCCCTTTGCCGGGACCTTCCCTCCGTGGCACAAGCGCTTGTTCCCAGAGCAGAGCGTTCCCCGAGCAGCTCCTCACCTGCGCAGCTACGGTCCCATCGTTACGAAGGACCAGAGGGAGTTTTTCTGAATCGCCCAGCAACAGCTTCTTGAAGAGGAGCAGAGGGTTCCCTCTCCTATTGTGAAGGACTGGGCGCAGGACCGTCACCCGAGGCAGATTCCCGTCTCCACTGATATCGAAGGTCAGGCTTTGCGCTTTAACCGCTGCAGGGCTGCAGGAGAGGCAGAGGAGAAATCATTATGGTCGGTACTAACCCATTTCCCTCTCGGTAAGCAACGAGGCGAGTGTCACCCGCTGCTTTTTCCTCCTGCACCCCATGACGCGGCTCCCTGCTCTCCTCCCGGTCCCATCAGGGCCATTCACAAGAGGAATCAGCTCTGAAGAAGCCGGAGACTTCCAGAATAACAGTTTAAAAAAAAAATATCATCTCGCTTAATCGAATCGTGCAGCATGGCAGGTAAACAATGAGGCAACAGATGAGACGTGGCAAATTCACCGGCTGCGGTGATGTGAGGCGTACGCAAAAAGCACAGCGTGAAAATAGTATAAAAGCAAGAAGGGAGAGGTAAGTAAATAACACCGTCAGCAAAGATAATCGCCAAGGACACTAAACCAGGAATTGCTCATTAGGGCACAAAGCTGACTTATCGTGTCCCAGTTCAGCGACCAAAGGGTTGGGGAAGAGCAGGTCAGAGCCCCAGTACAAACACAGGTCCCAGGACAGAAGAACTGGGCTCCTTTTTTATAGGGTGTCCAATCGCTCCTTAACATAAAATATCTTAACGTGCCCCCAGGTAATCACGACGGATCATCGCATTTTAACATAAACAAGGAGGAAATAACGCATGCTGACTTGCTGGCACAGACACCGCTTCACCTAATCCTTTGTCCTTGGAAAGCCCCAGCTGAGCACATCCCCGTTTCTGCCATTAAATAACTTCCAGTTGGCTACACCGCCCGCAGAGTTACTCGTACAGGGGAAACTACGACTCTGACTTCTCCGCTCTCTCTAGTAGTTACTGCTTCCTATATTACCTAATGCTAAGCCCAGCCTAAGGCTACTAAAAGAGCTAGGGTTAACGGAGTTAGGTCTATGTGCTCCCACAGAGGAGAGGCAGCCAGCAGAAGGGTCACCCCCAAGATTTCCCAGGGTGAGTTACCTTGCCTGGCCATCAAGGGAAGCCTCAAAAGTGCACTCGTAGTTCTGCATCGTTTGCGGAGTGAAGGTCACCATAGCAAAGGCGTGGGAACGGCTGGGCACGCACATCCGAACGGGATCCACCTCGAAAATGTCGCTAACGTAGCTGTTAGGCTTGGAGGAACCCACAGAGCGGTGTTAGGAGGAAACATCCTTCAACGTGGTGTAGTCTTATTTCATACAGACATGAAGGGAAACAGTCCCAGAGAGCCTGTCTTCCTTCCTGCTTCCCTGGACAGGCTCCTTCCACCTCAGGGGGTGACCCCAAAGCGGTGCTGACCTTGCACAGGGAGCTGCCATAAAGCCCAGGAGCGCAAAAGCTTGTTCTGAGCAACCACCCCAGCATACATGGGAGATGGGGGGTGCATGGAAAACCTTGCAAATAATCTAGAATTGGCCTTTCAAGAGAAGGGAAAGACCAGGGAGCCTGAGGAAACGGTCTGCTTTGAGCCCTGGCGCATCAGTCCAGAAGAAGAGCCCCTGCTGAGTGTGCTCCCAAGAGATATTCAGAAGGGTTCAAGTCTCCCACCAAAGACCCAGAGGGGTGACCCAAAACCTTGCTTGAGACAGGCTGAATTCAACCCAACTGTCACCCGGGCATTGCTGCTCTCCCCTGTAGTTTCACCTGCACTGAGCTGGACCAGCCTGGGCAAGGAGCAGCAATGAACCTGGAGGCGACCACACAGCCTTTGAAGAGCAACAGTCACCAAGACCTCTTGTTCTTACCTTACTGGGGATGGGTTTGATGGAGAGGACCACATCACAGGGGACTTTATCCACATTGCGGATCTTGAAGCGAGCCGTGGCCCGGTGCCCAACCAGAACATTGGTGAAGATAAATTTATTCTCATCTGTGATGAACACGCCCTTGTCTTCCACTGTCTGTAGGATCTGCCAGAGGTTGATGTTGCTGCAGATACGATGCTCCTCAAAGATGGACTCTATGTCGTCGACCACAAATGCTGCGAGCAGACCAGAGGGAGGGCTGAGGATGGAGAAGCCTTCCGGCTGAATTCCTCTGGACCCCGTTGGCCTCTCAGAAGGCTCAATAAGCCCCTTCTGCCCAGGTCACTGCAAAACCCAACCTTGGGTGGAGGAGTTGGCTGTGAGGATGGAGCTCAGTCACCCTCAGTCTTAAAGGGCATCGCTTTCCTTTTCTCCTTCCCTGCGTCCCTCCCAGCCTCTCCTCACTGGTGGACTTGAAAAGACCTCTGAGGATTTTAGGGTGGGACTTTAGGGTCAGGGTGTCTTCTCTACCCCAGGAGTAAGTATGGGTGCTGATGGCCACGGAACCTGTGGATGGGGCGTACCTGGGAGGCAGGACTCGGCAAACAGGGTATAGGGGATGCCGAGGGGGTTGTCCCTGGGGTCTCTGTCGCTGATATCGATGGACAGGCACTCCTTGCAAGTCCCCAGCGGCTCTGCACAGCAATCCACCACGATCATCTGCTGGCCCCCAGGAGGGATGGAGCCAAAGCCAGGGTACACCGTGAACATGCCCAGAGTGACGCGAGCCTGCTGAAAGAGTCCCAGGAGAGGCTGATGTCTAACAGCTTTACCTTCAGCATGCCCAGCAAGGAGTATGCCACTCCCTGGCCTCCAGCCGAGCCCAAACCCCCAGTCCCGGGGCAGCAAGGGACAACTCCACGGCCCGGAGGCACCCCAGGATGGCACGAGCAAGCTGGGAGGAGGAGTAGGCTTGTCCCGAGTGGCACAGAGAAAGGAGTTTGGGTGTAAAGGGTGAAGGTGGCAGCTGAGATCCTTCCACCTCAGAAGCAGCAAGCAAGGTCATCTCACGTCAACAGACCGGGAGTTCAAACAGGGACGTTCTGCATCTGGGGTATTCATAGACCTACTTTGGCTAGCAGCTCCCAAACACGGGACCTGCTCCCCTCTCTCTTGACCCCACAACTCCAGCTCTGAGCCAGAGCACGGGACCGCCAGCGGGACTGAGCAGCTCCTGCCTCCACTCGTGGCTGGGGGGTGACGGA